CGGTGTCGAGGGGGACGACGGCGAAGACCTGGTGGTCTGGACGTCGACCATGCTCCGCACGGGGCAGACGGTCGCGCCCATGACCCTACATAGGGAGGTGAGTGAGCTTCGAGGGGAAACATGATGGAAGGTATGGTTGGAGGAAGGATGTTTCCTTTTGACGTATGAAACAATTGTGCCGGTGTTCCGGGGGGGGGGGGGCGATGATGATTGCGTCGCTGAAGGCATGCTGGTAGACAGACTCCCGCCGAAGAAAGTACAGCAGTAGTCACATACCGAAACGCATCCATCCGGATTCGACTTTGTTTGTTTTGCCTGGAAGAGCAAACGAACAAACATTCAACCAAAATCCACTGAGAACTTTGCGGCCCTGGAGGATGGTTTGGGGCAATATCAGTGGTGGAAACCCGGACTTGATTTGATGATTTTCGTTGCTCCCTCACTTGTCCCTGAGTGAGGCCACAAAAGATAAACAAGTTTCGATGAACGTGGTGTTCAACGTGACTTTTCCCTGAAGCTAACCCCGATGGATGTGTTCCAGGTTTTGCGTTTCCTTCAGAGGATAAACTTCATGAGAACCATTTTCTTTTCAGTGTTACCCGCTTTGGGCGTAAATTGATGGAGGGAGGGTCGGGGTGAAGTCGAGGTGTCCGTGGTGGTTGTTTCCGACGATGCTACTTCTGCTCTGGCTATCTCCGCACCTGGGTTTTACCGCGTTTGACGTTACCGATGTTGCCGCCGCCGTTGCTGCTGCTGCTGCTGCTGCTGTTGTGCGGCGTGCGACATCAGGTGATGAAGTGGAGCCAGCTGACGGAGATCAACGCGGGGCTCATGGACTCCCTAACGTACGAGTACGTTGCGGCGGAAATGCCGGCCGAGTACGAGGCGCGCCAGAAGGACAAGCTTCGATACCGGTAAACATAACCACCGCTGTCGACTTGTGTGTGCGTTTTTTGAAGCTGCTGTCTGTGCCTCTGGAGCTCATTTTGTCCGCCACGCGATTCGCGCTCCCGTTGTTGCCCACGAATACACGACTAGCGTCAAGTAATCGTGCGAGAGGGAGGGAAAGAGAGAGGAGAGAGGAGAGACACAGACAGACAGACAGGCAGACGGACATCAGACACACACACATAGAGCGAGAGAGGGCGAGAGAAGATGCGCCAAGCAGCAGTCGAGAATGTTGCACAGAACCATGGCAAGGGTGACGCACCGTCTTGTCGTGAACGATGCCATTGACGTTGTACGCGCGTTTCGAAACGATGCCATGGACTGTACGCGTGCCGCTTCACTCGAGGCTGCGCTTCAATAGCCGGAGGAACATTGTTTCCAACAGCCACGTGGGTGCTGTTGCTGTTGGCCCTCCTACTCGAATGCATCTTAAACTGGTATATTCTAGTCTGCCGCAACAGCTTCCCCCAAAGGGTATAGTGTAACCCAGAGCGGACAGCGAATGAAGGCATTTCAACTTGATCCTTTCGGCGGGCGGCGTCGGTCGTACGTGCTTGCCACACCTCCCCCCAACTTCCGGCCGTCCTCGGGCGGAGAGGACGCCTTCCATGCTCCTTGGGTGTTGCCCCGGGTGGGGTCTCCTCCGTGCCTTCCCTCCAACTCCGCCTAGAAAGTCGTTGTTGTTGTTGTTGTTGTTGTTGATGTTGTTTTTGTTGTCCCACACAACAGTCAACAGTCTTGTGCAACTCCGCGGTGTTTGTAGTTATCCTGAAATGGTATCGGTTTGCGCTCCTTTTTTTACCCCGCAGATACCCGGGCGGCGAGAGCTACCAAGACCTGTTCTTGAGGCTCGAGCCCGTCATCTTCGAGATGCTCCGCGAGCGGTCGCCGCTGCTGGTCGTCGGGCACCAGGCCATCCTTCGAGTTCTGTACGGTGAGAGAAAGGGTCAAGGGAACGAGAGTACACGCGGTGCGCTCACTCCCCTGGGTGTTTGGGCCCAGTTGCAACAGCAGCGGTGGAGCGTGTGTTCCGTGCCACATTGCGTCGCATCCGTCCACTTTCGGTCGATGGCGGTACTGCATCCGCCACCAACCCGCAAGCAAGTCTGGATAGGGAGGGGGGGCTGTTTTGTTGTTGTTCTGCATGAAAAAAAAAGTTGGCAGTAATCACCCAGAACCAAAGCTTCTGAAAGCCCGCTGACGCTTTGAATTCATTGCCAATGTATCCCAGAATCTTTACATGTGTAAGAAACTAAATATTCCGTGTTATTAGCGGGGGGAAAAAAGGTTACCTGCTACTGGAAGGGATGGATTTTTCGCGTTGCAAGATCAGGAAAACACCCTCCGCGCCCTGCCCTGTCGTGCCGTGACGCCCGATGAAGGTTACCTAACTGGCAAGGCGCCAGGGGAGTGCCCGACGATTCACATGCCGCTGCACACGGTCATCAAGCTCACACCCAAGGTAAGAGAGAGCGAGGCAGCGAGGCATGGTGTGGCGTAGCGTGCTTTTCGAGTTTCCGCGTACATTACCTGGCCTGTGCCCTTTCCCCATACAAAAACAATATTGATTTCTGGATTAGTGACGCGTTACTGCGGTAAACACCACGGTTTCGAGGAAGTTCGAGGTCCGAGAGGGGCTCGCAGCAGCTCGACTGAGCGCAGTTTGGTGTGTTAGCAAAGCTGGCCTGTTGGTGAAAATATGCCCGGTACACGTGGCGGGGATGGGTATCGCTAGGAGTTGAGCGGGGCTGGTGCCTCGTTGCGGCAAACACGCGTTTGTCAATAATCGATATGATCCTAGGGAAAGCGCCAATTGGTTGGATCATGTCCCCCCCACACATCGATCGCCTCAATCAACCCTAACGTCGTCTAAGCTGGAAATACAACACTGATGATCACGATCCCTTCCGCGCACGCCTATCCCTCGCACCCCCCAACACAACTGCTTTTTCCACCCGCCCGCTGTAAGGCGTATTCGTGCGAGGAGGAGTGGCACCGGCCCCTGGAAGAGTGTATGGACCCGGTGCCAGACGTCAAGCACCCAACGAGCGACGCCTGCAGCGCGTAGAGTCCTCGCATCTCCCGGCGCCCGCGGGGGTCGAGAACATGATCTTTGCGAGAAGATGGTTGTAGGCACGCCGATAGGCAGAGGGCAAAGCTGCATGTTTTTGACGAGACGATGCGAATTGCACTGCATTCCGATTCGCGTGCTCCCCCTTTTATCGAGAGGGGGGCAGGCGGACAGGCGGGACGGATGGTCCGTGTTTGGATGCGTTTGTGCTACTTTGCGAAACGAACGGCCGCGTTTGCTCGCCGGCATTTGCCCTCAGACTAAACGAAAATGCGTCAGCGGGTATAGATCCCGGCCCCCCAAAAGGGGGACCAACGTTTCGTAGAATGGGCGACACGCCCAGAGAGAACACCAAAGCTACGATTTCTACACAAGTGTTTTTTTGTGCTTGTTTTTGTTTTTGTTTTGTGTTTTATTTCGGATGCATGATTGCATGGCCTCAACTAGGAGAAGAGACAGAGAGAGCAGAGAGAGAGAGAGAGAGAGCGATGCTAGGCGGCGGCCTGTATGTACACAACAGCAGTAGACATGACGCTGGCATGCAGCGCTCGAAGTATGTCACGGAAGGCGTTACCTGCTTGCCGATCTTCAACTCTTTCGCGCCCTCCCACCCCCTGCACAAGGGACATGTTGTCGGTGGAAAAAGAGGTACAGTCTGCAAGAGGCGCATGCAGAAAACATGTAGTATGTGCTTAGACTCGATGGGGGCTTGAAACCCAACCGCCCCCCGCCCTTGCCCTCGGTTTCCCCCTGATTTCTTGTCGGCAGGGAACGGCCACGCCGTTGTTGTTTGTCGTGTTGTATTCTCGTGTTTTCTACTGGGAGTACGTACTCGAAGTGTTCGGAGCGGGGCACAAGGGTGTCACCAACGGTCTTTGTCTGATAGATTTTACCGTCCAAGAGGCGGGCGGAAGATTAGCTACGAGCTGTTGTGCTTTGCGATACGCCAACTAGTTCCCATAAAGTTGAGAAGCTAATCGCACAGCAGACAAGTCAGAGGTAGTGGCTGTGTGTAGATCGTTTTTGAATTGTTAGAAGTCTGGCTTTCTGCGCTGGGTTGTTTTTCGATTGGACGGGGGTAAGTTTGGCCGAAGCAAGAGATAGCGTGCGCGTGCGGGCATCGTATAGGCAGCGGTGTGGCCTTCACCACGCCCTACGATACGAGACGCTGTTTGAACGTAGCCGGTGTGTCCTGTCCGGATGGGGTTTGTGTCTGTCTGAAGTAAGGCGGGGACGACGGCGGGTTAGCGGGTAAATTCTCCTCCGTCCTTCGGGGTCGACACACTCCGGCCCTTTCACAGGCTATTATGCTGTTTGGCTGTTCAAAACTTACGAACCGCCATGTCATGCAAGCAGGCACGTAAATATCGGTCTTTGAGGGAGGGAATATTTTCTAGAAGTCGAGTACGGTACGTGCCAACGTACCGCGCGGTGTGTCGTTGTTGGTTTTTCTGTTACGCATTTTCAAGGTATCTTCTATTGGGCACATGACGATCTTGCACGTTGTAAGTTGCCCTCAGACCCGCCGCCTGCTTGGCAGTCGTTCAATGTTTCCGGGGCAGGCTCTGTACTCAACAGTTTTTGTCCTCCCAGCGACTGGCTGCTTTGAGCATGTATGTTTTCTTGCGTCAATTAAGTAAGGTGGCGGCGATGGAAAGGGAGTGAGTAGAAGGCAAAAGCAATCAGTCGAGTTGGTGAACCTTGACCTTTGGATGATTTCTGATTGTGTTCGCTAATTGTAATACGGGATGCCTCGATGAATAAACCCATCCACATACGTCCCGAAACTTAATCACCACTGGAGCATACCGCCGCATGCATAGGTTGCATCATATTCACCACGATCTGGACCGATTCTCAAAGCTCGCGATCGCCGTACGGACCGACATGCAGTCTATGCGTATAGCAGTGTTTGGGGGTCCCCGAGTAGGGCAGTTTGAATAAGACGGTCGCCTTATTCGAGGCGGGGGAAACTGGCCGGCATAATTTAGACGGAAATGAATCAAAGTTGTTTTATTGTATACCACACAGGTGGAGGTTGACCCCGCTTCCCCAATATGTGGGATGCCTGCACCCCCTTTTGGAGACTTGGTTAAGGCCGGACACCTTGGTGGACCCAATCAAGGTCTCGAAAGGGGAGAAACTGAGGTAATCTCGAGGCCTTGGTTGCGTTCACAAAAGTGTCCGGCCTTGACCAAGTCTCCACAGGGGGCGCGGGTATCTGACACATTGGGGAAGGGGAGTCGACCTCCACTTGCGACATCAATGCTACACAAAGAATAAGGCGGCTGCCCCATATAAGGCGGTCATTATCAGCTGCCCCACCCCCGCCTTATTCGGGGACCCCCACTGCACCTACACCTACCTACCCTTGCCCCAATGGAGGAAAATCAACGACTGCATATGCTAGCATAATTGCCTCTCCTTGTGGAGAACACCTTCATAAAGGTTGAAACTCCCCAACGTTTGTCGAGGACGAAACCCTCTTTTCCACAATGGCGTCGACAAGAGATGTCAGGTTGTTGTTGTTGTTGTTGTTTCTCACATTAGCTCTAAAAAAAAAAATGTCAGGTGTCTGCTTTTGGTTGCAAAAGACACGGGTTCAGAACCCGCTGCTCACCTAATTTTCTTCCGGAGTACGGAAAAAGAAAAACGGTGGGTAGGCCAAGAAACGATGCACTGTCTATTGAACTCGAAACTTCTGACAATGCGTGGCGGAAATGGCGCACCCGCAACACGCACAGAAGATTGTTGGAAAAAAAGTGGTTCTACTCGCCGCCAGCCGGTCGGGTTCCGGTTACCCCGAGAAGACTTCTCTTGCCTAGCAAACAAGAAGAAGCTCTCCCTTCTTCCCCTCGCTCCTCGACAAGCTTTTGCTTAGTTAGACATGGGTTGTAGCGAAGGGGCGGGTCTTTCTGGGGAGCAGGGCTAGACTCACCCTCAAGGGATGACCGAAACCTTCTTGCTGCTGCGCATATCCGCCGCGAGGCATGCGCGTGGTGGTGTAGTTGGGTCGGCACTGATGGGGTCAGGCGAAAAAATGTAGATGCGCGGGCCTCTGGCCGTCGGCGTAGGCAGCGATGCCCATCTCATTTTTTGTGCGCGGAGGCAGACACCGTCAGAAGGTGGACGGGAACTATGTACACGGCCCTAGGTTGGCTAGAGGGCGCTGCATTGCCTCAGTAACCTGGCTTCGCCATCAAAGGAGGAGGGAGCAGGTGGCGACGAGCTGAACTGGGCTGGTTGACCCCTTCGGCGCGAGAATTTTTATTTTTCAGACCAAGAACCTTGAGTGCAACGAGGGAGAAAGCGAGGAACCGACTGGGAAGGACAGCAACGAGAGCGTGTACGGACGGAGCAGGTCGAGTGGCGTTATGCTCGGGCTGACTACAGCGGCGCCGGACGGAGCAGCGGCACCGGAGCATGCGGGCGACATCGACCCGTGGCGCACGGACAAGCATTTCAATCTGTGTTGTCATTTTTTTTCGATTTTTTTCTGACTTTCTGTGTTGGTTTTGTGTGATGCCATCGTCACCGGTTTTGTAGAGAGACCCGTCAGAGATGGCGTGGCTAACCCGGGTGCCTTGGTTATGTGCCTGATCGTGGAAGACCCCTTCAATGTGGAACGATTCTTAGCTATTGTCGATATTTTCACTGCGTGCCTAACACAGACGATCGGGAGAGGTTCGGGTGATTGTCCATTGCAATCATGGCTTTGGTTGGTTGTTCTTTTTCACTGTACGTCCGCAGACACATTCTGACAGCACTTCAGACAGCAGCTTTGTGCCCCGCCAGCTTCTTGTTCCATGCCTACCATGGTGTTTTTGTACAGACAGCACTTCAGACAGCATTATGCTGTAGTCGGCAATCTTCCGTTTTGGTATAGAGTGGGACAGGGAGGGGGTGATGCTACTGTAGTCGAACGGTGGGACGGACGTGCAGTTCAGTTTTTGGGCACGCATACGGTGCTGCAGGGATTTTTAGGTGTACCTCTTCGGGCTCTTGGATACCTTTTTCTCGTTAGATGTGTGCGTGTTCTTTAGATCCTCAGATGGCTCTAGCACTTTCGTGACCACGGGCTGAGAGTCTTTTGCTAGATTTTGGCATTTAGCAACTGACATACGGTTTAATGTGAAGACAACAACAACAACAACAACAATGTGGAGAACACCTTCATAAAGGTTGAAACTCCCCAACGTCTGTCGAGGACGAAACCCTCTTTTCCACATACGGAAAAAGAAAAACGGTGGGTGGGCCAACAAACGATGCACTGTCTATTGAACTCGAAACTTCTGGCAATGCGTGGCGGAAGTGGCGCACCCGCAACACGCACAGAAGATTGTTGGAAAAAAGGTGGTTCTACTCGCCGCCAGTCGGTCGGGTTCCGGTTACCCCGAGAAAACTTCTCTTGCCTAGCAAACAAGAAGAAGCCTCGAAAAAGGGGGGGGTAATGTGGAGAACACCTTCATAAACGTTGAAACTCCCCAACGTCTGTCGAGGACGAAACCCTCTTTTCCACATCCTATTTGGAAGCAACCCAACAGGCGGTGCAGCGCTGAACCCCCGCGCCCCCTGCCAAATCAAGTGGTCAGAGAGAGTCTCGCATGATCGCCTCAGGAGATACCGAAGGAACATGATAATTGCAGCAGGTTAGTAGGTCTCTGCTGTACGCATGTATTAAGCTCGCAAGCTCGTGGTGTGCGAGTTGGCTACAGCTGATAGATCTATGCATACGGACCTACGATCTGAGACCTTCCGTTTCCGAACCGGTACAAGAACCTGTTTGTTGCACCGCACGTGTGGGAGTATGAGGCGAGGCGAGGGCAGATGAGCAGCTACGACGAGGAGGAGAGTGGGACCGTTGTTGTTGTTGTGGGTGGGTGGGATTCCGTAATCGATTCACATGGAAGGAGGGCAATCGGTAGGGGAAGATGGTGCCGATGGGGGTCAGGATATTGTACGCCAGCTGAGAGCACGGGTGGCGGAGCTGGAGGAAGAGAACGATTTGCTGGCAGTTGCCGCGACGCACGAACCACGGCTCCTGGCCGATGTCAAGAGGCAAGTCACCGGCAAGTAGCAATAGAGTCGTAGTCGAGCAGCAGCAGCAATAGCAGCAGCAGCAGCAGTTCTACCGTAACGGATCTGCGGTGATAAAAATTCTGTTCTTGCTTTGTGTGCTCCCGGGTGTCCGGGTTGTGCCGGCTCTTCTTCTAAATATGTCGTGTACAAGGTTCCCCTGCGGGAGGTAGGTGAATTGCCTCCCGAGGGCGACGCAAGAAGACATGGCCAATCAATGTCATCGCGGTCGCATGATTGTTACTCATGACATTCGTTAGTGCCGGTTTACGTGCAACCTGCATAAATACTCCTGCTAATTTGCCAGGAACATGTGCGGGGTATTTTGTTTCTCCCTCCGTGATTTTTCGCTTGTGCGTATGTGCTTTCATGTGGGCGCTGTCTTTGCTGCAGGTCCTGCTGCTGTAATCCGCTGCGTTTGATCACTTACTCTTCTAGTGTGATCTTGTTCACGCAAACACCAACAACGCATCAAAGAGACGATCAACGTGCCCAAGAACAGTCATCAACCACCAAGCACGTGTAAGGAAAAGCGCGTAGACTGCTACGTACGTACCTACTTCGGAATTGAAATTTAGCATACCGCTGCCAGTAGAGTGAGTCGAGAGGACTTCTGTGTCGCGTGGTGTGAGTCCATGAGCAACACCAAGAGTATTGGTCCCCGCTGCGGGTACGCATGCGTGAGTCACTGTGTGGTGGGTGTGTACACAACCATCACAGCAGCTGTGTGGGCGTGTGGGCGCGTGGGGCGGGGGGCGGGGGGCGGG